TCATTATTATTATTAGTGGCAGCAGCAGTGGTTTGTGTTATACCTTAGTTATTGGACTGTTCTTATCTCAACCTGTGGGAGTTACATTCTTTCAGTTCTTCTTCCCATCCCTTCGGTAGCGAGGGGGAAGAAAGAGCAGGGGGGAGTAGACTGCGTGGTTCTGATTTACAGCCTGGGCTTAAACTGTTGTCGCGGTCAGGTAGCTTAGAACCATGCAGCCACTTGCTCACTACCCCCCTTCTTCCTCCCTCAGCTCCGGGTGGGATGGAGAGGAGATTTGAAAAAATGTGACTCCCATGGGTTGAGATAAGAACAGTCCAGTAACTAAGGTATAACACAAACCACTGCTACTACCACCAATAATGATGATAAGGGAAATAACAGGGGGAGAATATTGCTCACCATCTGCTGACTGATACTCAGCAAGGCCTGAGCAGTGATGTGGGCCTTCCTGGTAACTGCTCCCAGTTTATATACTGGGCATGATGTGCTGTGGTATGGAATACCTCTTTGGCTAGTTTGGGTCGGGTGTCCTATCTCTGCTTCCTCCTGGCTTCTTCTCTTCCCAGGCAGAGCATGAGACTGAAAAGTCCTTGTTCAGAGTAAACATGACTTAGTAACAACTAAAAACATTAGTGTTATCAGCTCTGTTCCCAGGCTGAAAGTCAAAACCACAGCACTGCACCAGCTACTAAGAAGGAGAAAAATGACTGCTACTGATGAACCCAGGACAACAGTTTAATTGGAAACAGTATGGACACATTCTTGGTACTGCAAATAAGCTCTCCAGATACATTGAAGAAGGTAATCAACCAGGGAATAGAACCCAATCCACTTCAGTTTGTGTAAATGATAGCTGTTATTTCATGTGGTCATCTGATCTGAGCTGTGTATGGTATGTAGGAGTAATACTGACTCTTCCTCAATAATACATGGAATTGAACTAACTTTAAAATGTTCTTTGTCCCTGAACCATTTAATGTGCACTTTAAAGAGACTCTGTGCAGCAATATCCTGTTTGTGTGAATCCTGTCTTCCTCAGACACAGTAAGGAATCTGCTTCATGCTCACTGTTCTCAGCTTCCCGCAATGATGAGAAGGATTTAACTCTATCTAGAGTATGGATCAAAAAAACAGAGATTGTATATAAGTGTCACTGTCTGCTGAGGTGGAATAGCATTGACAAAGGGGTGTCTTCACCAGCCCAGTGGTAAGACTGTAAATCAAGTAGTTTTATTTTGTTACTACAAATAGCATTGGTTACTTTGTGTAAGATCGTTTGATTTTGGGCTGTGTTAGCTGTCAGACTATGTATCTGTCCGACAGCTAACGTAGAGTCTTCTGAGAGCATATTTTTGATTGTTAATACACTCTGTTGTCTGTTTTCATGGATTCTTTGTTATTGCTGCATATGTTAACTAGATAAGATTTTACCAAAAGTCTGAGTGGCACTTTCAATTTGGTGGATAAATGCACTCTGCCTGTAGTTTATGTGCTCATACCCAAACATTTAGCCACCGTGTGCTGAATCACATCTTTGCCTTGTAGAGCAGAATTAGTACAGTCTAAATCTTGAGAATGCCAGTGTTTCTTTAAATAGTGATTAGAGAATTTTCAGCTGGATCATTTTTTTCTCATGGACTTAAATCAGTGAGTAACCTAACTGTGTTTTACTGTGGTTTTTGATCATTGCTCATTGGTTCCTATGATGTAATTGTTTTGAATTGGTGTTTTGTGTAATTGGGTCCAAGAAGATACAGGTAGGGTACAGGTGACAAACCTCTCACTTCTTCTCAACACTTAATGTTTAGCCACATCTCAAGAAGCCATCTGAGAAACTAGAATTGCATACAGATTCCTACAAAATACCTGCTTCTGTAGAACTGATTCAGAATTAGTGTTAATGGATTAAATTAAGATTCCATGTGTCTCATGAGAGCATGAATATACTACAGAACTTGAATGGTACTTGCATTTTACATAGATTTTTTTTTTTTTTTTAATTTTTGGATGTGGGATTTCACTAAATATCCAGAATTAAGCGGTAATCCTGTAAATTGTTAAATTTACCAATAGCTTGCCATTTGAGAATGGTTCTGGTGTGTTGCAGGCGTATCTTGAATTGGCTTGCATTTAATGTGTTTATAAGGATCGTGTGATGTTTCTAATGCAACATCCTCTTTTCGGTGTGCTACTAGCTGTTTTTTATGCCTGCTAACAAATTCTCCCACTGGGATGGGAGAGGAGCGTGTTTGACCTTAGCTTTAGCCTGGGCAGAGCAAAAGACCTTCTGATAAAAAGTCTTGTAATGAGGAAATACTACCTTCCTTTCTTGTCTTGTTCATTGAAGGGAAGTGCTTTTAAAAAAAAAAGAGTTGAATGAGACGGGAAACTTAAGAGTGTGTATAAGCGTAGACCTTGACAATCAAAAGATAGCTTATAGTGGTACAGAATGTGTAGGCTGCACTTTGATTTCGCTCTAAGGGCTCTGTAACCGCAGCAGATGTTTTGTAAATTTCTCTTAATGGATTTTGGGCAGGTTATGTTCTGCTGTTCTGTGTGCTTTGCAGCTATCTTAGAATTCAACAACAAACATGCCTTCTGGTTGGAGTTGTCAAAACTATTCCTGGTCTCCTGGAGCTGTAATGATATAACAAGTTTTGGATATTTGCCCATCGTTTGCTTTTTATTGTCATGTATTGAGCCAATTAAGCATATTGAAGTAGTAGAATTAGGTACAAAATTTGTTTTCTCAGGGAAAACAACGCGGTCAAACTTCCCCTGCCTTTAGAAATCAAGGTTTCTACTATTTTTTGTACCAGTAATTTCCTTAATCTCAATTATCATTTTCACTTTTTTCATAGTATGTTCCGGTATATTTCTGTTATTATGCTGCTTAGGACTGAGATTTCTTGAAGCTCATGTGCTATAGATTCCAAGTTGTGATTATCATTATATTATAGGCATTAATTGTGCCAGAATATTTGAAATTTATTTGCTGGAGCCCACCAATTCTGCTGTAGTTTCTTTTATTTGTCTTCTAGTTAGTGAAGGCAAACACGTATGATAAACTGGACCTACCAACTATTAACGTTTTGAAACTTAGGACGTCGTTTGCAGTTCCAAAAGAGAGTAAAGAATTCTGTGGGGAGAAAAAAAGGAATGATAAATCTGAATAGAATTTGATCTGCATCTTTGCAGACATCCTAGTACATTGATCAGCATGACTGTAGATTGCACCTTTGCTTCTGAAGTACTGCTTGATGTTATCTGAGGAACCAGGGAAAAATTGTTCTCACAGAACTGGGGAGTGTGTTAAAAAATAATGTACAAAGAATATAACAATTCTAACATAATCACGTTAACTGTCATCACGTAAATAGACTCATCAGAGAGAAGAAATTAATTCTGACATTACAGAGAAGGATATACATTATGGCGTATTGTTGTTCATATTTTATTTCCCAATTCATTTAAAATATTTAGGGTGGGTTGTTTTTGTTGTGTTTTTTTTTTTTTTTTAAATAGAGTAGCAAGCTTGTTGCTTCAAGAATGGAAGTGCATTTGTCAATGACAAAGTAACATTTATGTGAGAGGGATACAGCAACTTATTCAAACACAGTGAGGAGATGGTGGAAAGCTCCTGCTTTATTAGTTAAATGTCTTGTGGCTAATTTTGTATCCACTAAACAAAGTTTTTTATATCATTTGTCTAGTCATTTTTGTTTGTCCCATATTTTTCTTGGGTGATCTTTTGTTGCTGATTTCATACAATTCCCAGGTGTTTACAGCAAAACAGTTACTATTCAGTTTGGATAAGAATTGAATGGTGTTTGTGGTTAATATATTTATTGTGAACAAACACATACACCTTCAGTAATTCTAGGTAATTCATACAATCTTTAAATCTGGATCTCTATCAAAGATCTTTTGTGTTCTTCAGGCATAAAATATAATGCATAAATGAATCAAAAGTCTATTTCCCTGAATCGGTATTAATACTGTCATTAAAGAGAGTGTTACCTTCTTTCTGGAATCAAATTAGAAAGGAGGTCAGGAAGGAATAAACTAGTCATGTTCTGAAGACTTTCCCCTCTCTCTCCTTCTCACCTTCTGCCTTTTATCTTATAGCATAGTGGTTTTGTACCATAATATAGTTAGGTTAAAGAGCTTAATATTTCCATTTTAGAGAGGGAAAGACTGGGTAACTTATTTGAATGGTAGCTGAGGTGCTGTTCACATTCTGGTTAGAGGGTCAGATACCAGATTTTAATAACACTGAAACCTTGTCTTAATGAGAGGGAAAAGTGAAAAATTAATTTCTGTATTTTCATCAGCTGGATTATATAATTATGTAATGAACTAAGGAGGGTTCGTGGAGTAGTGCATGAATAATCATCAAAGTTTAAACATGGGAAGTCTTTGTTCATAGAAGTCAAAACAAGATAAAAATAAGCAAAAAACCCCACCCTGTTTTTACTTCACCAGGTAAAAGTCGCCATACTTTCTAGCCTTTCCTAGATAGAAAACTGTGTTTGTTTATCGTATAGATGGTTTGTGAGTCCTAGGTAAATCTGGTCATTGTGGAATCCTTTTAAATTTATATGCTACAGTTGATTTTTGTGTGTGCAGGGGTTGCAGAATGAATGTTAATGTAAAAAACCCCATACATCCCAACAATAAAATATTTCTGTCAAAGAAAAGTGTACTTAATTTACATGTCCAAATTTATTTAAAATTATTTTACTGCTTAATCAAAAACTGAGAAAAAACCCAAACCACTGTAATCTCTCCCCTTGAAAAGAAGTTGAAAATCTTAGGAGGAGCATTTGATTTCTATACAGATTTCTTAGAACCTAGCAACAACACAGTAAAATGTTCTATGAGTTTATAAAATATTCTAATGGGTTTAAATGGTAGTATGTATTGCCAAATATAACAGCATTTTCCTACCTGCTTTAATTAAAAGATACCCAATTTTGTTTGTCTTGCTGTACTAGGGTTCTTCCCAAGCAGCTCTCATGGATGTGATGCTTTTCTTCGCCACAAGATGACTCTGATTTCTCCATCAATATTGAAGAAGTATGGAATTCCTTTTGACAAGGTACATTAGTGTTTATTTCTAAACTGTGCATTCATCCATTGAATTAGACTTGTGTTTACTATAAGGATTTTTTATAGTAAAGGTGATGCAAAATAATAATAACTTTTTTTTTTAGGCATTGACTCCATGAAAAGACAAAAACAAATGCTTGTAGTATTAGGATTTTTATGTGTTTTAGCTTGGAATTTTCTAGCAGAAAACACTTGTAGCCATCATAATCTTTATGCTAGAAATTTTTGTTAAGATCTTATCCATAATTTTTATTCCTGTTTTTTTTCCATGCAAGCTGTTGACTGAAACACTTCTTAAGATAATGAATAAACACAAATTTAATTTAATTTATTTTTTAATTTATTTTTTATGGTGTAACATTAGAAAAATAGTGATTATTTTGTGCTGTTAGATAGTGGCAGACTAGACAATTGATAACATTATATAAAGTGTGAAGAATAACTGGCTTTCTTTTTGTGGATGAATCTTATACATAGCTGTTTTCAAAAACATCTAAAGTTTTCAATTTCTTCTGCTTTCCTCTATTTTGTAGCTTACTGTTTTCCATGTAGAACTTTCTGTAGGTGCCAGCTAATAAGAATGGTTTTACTGCATTACTTTTTCTTTAAATATATTTACTCTATATCCTCAATGCTTTGCAAATTCTGAAGTTCTAAATTCAAGAGGTTTGTAAGTCTACCAGAATAGTATGGCTTGATTCGGAAGGTTCGCTTCCTGAACATCTGTTTATGTTATACTGAGGTTTTTTAAAAGCCTTTTGACCAGTAAGGGTTTATGATTCTGGGTTTCCCACTGTGCAGGCTGTTTAAAGATGTTCAGAAGAACTAGGCAATATATACTTTTTTTCTCACTATTCCTGCTACAATACAGTCCTGTAAACTGTCACTGCTTTCTATAATTTCTTGTGGCCTCAGCGCACTTGCCACAGACCTTGTTTATTTTTGTGGTTACTATTTTAATGTATGTGGTGTTTGTTTGTTGATTCCATGTGGATCTGTGTATACAGACTTAGTGGATCATGCTTAGAATATAGCATAATGTGGTGCTTTCTGTCTGTTTTGATATTTTTGTAACAGTATGAAACATAGAAATAATATTTAAATTAATGTTTTCATGTATAGTGTTGGTGTAGTTAATCCAGTGGGCAGCTAAGAACCACACACGCTTGCTTCCTTCTGGTGATACAGGGGAGAGAATCAGAGGTGTAAAAGTGAGAAAACTTGTGGATTGAGATAGTTTAATAAATAGAGCATAAGCCACAAACACGAGTGAAACAAAGCAAGGAATTAATTCAGTATTGCTCATTGGCAGGCATATTCAGCCGTCTCCAGGAAAACAGGACTTCATCACACATAATGGTTACTTGGGAAGATTAATGCCATTACTCCAAATGTCCCCCCCATTCCTCCTTCTACCCCCAGCTCTATATGCTGAGCATGGCACTATATTGTCTGGAATATCTCTTGGGTCAGCTGGGGTAAGCTGTTGCACCTGTGTCTTCTCCCAATTTATTGTGCACCCCCAGCCTGGTCCCTGGTGGCGTAGGAGGCAGAAATGGCTTTGATGCTGTGCGAGCACCGTTCAGCAGTGACTGAAACATCCCTGTGTTATCAACACTGTTTGCAGCAAAGGTGGAATGAAGTCACTGATTTGTTGTATGCCTTTTGGAATTAGCTTCACTTTCCATGCGTAAATCAGTCTATGTATAAAATTGAAGAAATGTAGGCATTTAGAAAGATATTGCCTGCTGTGGAAAAGAAGCTTTTTTGACTATATTACTCATATAAGAAGTAGTTTGTTTTCTGAATGATATATTATCATATGGAAATGTAGTTGCTGAGTTCAGTTTTTGTAATATATAGGTAAATATTGATTCCCTTCATAGCCTTGTGCTTCATCATGAAGTGTCAGATGAAACCTTCCAAACTGGAAGGTTTTATAACTAGATTTATAGTTTTGGATTTACAGAATGTTACTCTGAGTGGTATAATTTTCAGTGGTTGATGTTAGTGTACTGCAGAATGCTAACATATTTGTTTTCAGTACCACAAATTTCAGGTGGGTAGGGAAGTTGATGTTCTTATTTTAGTGTCTTGATTATTGCTATATTCTAATTTGAGAATGAAAAATAAAGTGCTAGAAATAGTTAAATATTGGAAGTTTTATTCTTTCACCTAGTCTGGTGAGGAAGCAGACTGTACCTAAGTGTAATTGTAATTAATGGGATTCAGTGAGAAAGTGAATAGTAGATAGAACCAGGCTGTGATCTCTCATGGCTCAAAGTGATAGCAGTGGAAATGTGCTGAATGCTGATAAGTCAGCCTACGCCTACCAGGTGGCAGCTGAACTGCTGCTTGTTGCAATAGAACACCTGCTAAACTGTCACCATTAGGATTGTTAGCATTGAGAATAATCTTTCTTAAACAGTCCCACAGCGATTGTTGGAGTGCTACAGTAGCAGTTATAATATATGCACCTGTATGTGCATTTGCATGTACATGCTAAATATGAACCCACAGAAAGTTAACCTTGCAAAATATAAGATCCAATTTATTGTTTAGCTTTGATGGCTGACTATCTCTTCCTTGTTTTCCTCTCTTTCCTTCATCCCATAATACAGTCAGAAATATGCATCTTGAAGTGCTATCCCTCTGCATTTTTTCTTGCATTAAGCAAAAAAAAAAAAACCCAACAAAAGGACAATTCATAAAACTGTAAGATGAGATTTTCAAAAGAGAAGAAAGGGGAGATTTTAAAAGCAGAAAATGAATGTAAGACAACCATGCCAGCAAAAAGCTAAGATTTAAGACATGACATGTTAATAAGAAAAATGTTTGGAGTTCTGAATTTTAATTTTGTTAGTTGTTTAAAATTTAACTCTCCCTTTTTGTGATCATAAGTCTATTTCCCTAAAAAGCTGTGTTTGTCTTTCCAGTTTTTCCTTCTCTATTGCTTATGCAAAATGTTGTCACACAATAAAAATGGTTTGTTTAATCTATGAGAAGTCTTATTTTCTTATGATTGGCAAATGCATCTTGTTGAACAGTCATCAGTTACTGCTCAGATACTTGCTTCATTTAAATGGGTTTTTACTGGGCCTGCTCTCTGATGTGTGTTTCATGTAAAAAGACACATCAGACTGTATGGGGAATCTTTCAACCCTCCTACGTACTTTATTTATTAACTCCTTATCAGGTAGTACAGAAAACAGTGGGCCATTTCTAGTCTCTGAGTAGCTTGTCCTTGATACAGGCTTTGGTGGTCTGACTTCAAGAGGTCAGATCTGTCTGTGAGTGGGGAGGGTATTAGTGACTGGCAAGAAGTGCCATGCTGTTTTCTTAATGTCCAGAGGAGCAGTAGTTCATTCAGGTATAGGAAGATGAGATTTATTTCTTGAAGAAAATATCCTGGCCAGTGCTTCTTTCTTTGTATGTGGGGTGGGATTTTTTTAAGTTTTTTCTACTTTCTGTGATTTCATGTGGCCTCAGCACACTTCTCTTTTGGTTACTTTTTTCACTGTGCTTCTAAAGAACAGAGCAGTCTTTTGGAACTACTTTTGCTTGTTCTCTGTAGCAGTATTAGAGCTTAACTGTAGTCAAGCTTTGCCTCTTTGAGCTCTCCTTTGGGCTGCTTGTCCCTTAGGTATTTTGGAATTCTTGTTATCAATAGTACCATAGTCCTTCTGCTCTCTTAAATTGTGCTTTAAAGAGAGAGGGGGGAAGGGCAGGGGCAGATTAAAATTTCTTTTAATGTAAGGGGTGTCTAACGGCTTTACATTGAGACATTCTGCATGGCATTTGCAATGGACAGTTCCCCTTGGTGTCAGTAGCTGTTGTGGGGAAGGATGCACTTCATTTGCAAGAGAGAAGCAACAGTGAGTTTACGAAGTTCAGTGGTAAATGTGACAGTGACATCAAATCTAACAAGATTTGATGGCAAGGTGTACTTGAGTATTTACTGCAGGGACGACAGGGTCAGACAAAACTGTCAGGGAGACCCTCCCATTGGTTCATGAGGTTCAGAGGGGACTTCCTTGCATTCTAAACTCCTTCTCTGAGGGAAGTTTAGGTGCAGCTGGATGCAGACTTAGTCCCAGATTTAATCAATGGTTTGTGTCAGAGGGGTTATATGTGCTCTGTCAGTCTTTTATGTCACTTAGCTAAGGTTACAGTTTCAGCGCGCTTATTCCTAATTCATGTGCAGACTACCTCAGCCTTAAGGAGTAACCTTGAGAGGTGTCCCTAACTCAAGGGAGAACCTGGCATGCAGCCATGGCGGTGCAGGAGACCTCAGTGGGCCTTGAGCAGTCTGCCTTTCGTGGAGTAACATGAGGGACTTAGCCATGTTTGCAGACCAGTGGATGTCTTGATTACTGTGCAGGACAGCTCTTGGCTACTGTATTGCCATCCGCTGCCCCAGAGTCGGATGCGTGTGAGCACACTGCCAGAGCTGTAAGGGTGAAGAATTTGTGCAGGGCAATTGCCATTCATTCTTTTTCCTTTCCTATGAGAAATGATTTAATGATCCTACCTGTGGGGATCCAAATGTATCCAGTGTGTTCCTTTGGGACAGACAACCTTGTTCTCTTTAACTGTTAAGGCTCATAAACTTCGAGCTTCTTTTACTTTATGCTTGATCATCAGTAGTAAGTAATTCAAAAGGCAAATCAGGCCCGCTGTCACAGGTCTTCAAATCATAGTTTTTGAATGGGTGAGTATGGGAGAGAAGGGTCTCTCTGCAGTCTTTCCAAGTGAAACACCTTCAGGGTGGTGAATAGAATAATTTCATCAGCAATTAATTCATACTAGTATTTAGGGATGATAATTCGGCAGTTTGGTCCAGACTGTCTCTGCTTCCTTTCAGGCAGGAAGATCGGTATATTCTTTGCACTGTTTTTTATAGTTTGCTGTACTTTCAGGTTTTATTACTAGTGAACCTGTGCTCCAAGGTTAGCTTTTTGTATTTTTTAAATTCGTAAAGTAACACCAGTATTTGTCTCAATTATACTGTTCCTTCTTACATTGCAGCTGTGTGAAAAAAAAAAATCTTTCTAGGTAATTGCAAAGGCAGATATAGTTTTCATTGCTTTAGGAACAGAAACGATTTTGTAATGTGGTTCACCTGGAAAATTTTTTTGTTTTGTGCTGTAGGTTACACAAGAGGCAGGAGAATTTATGATCACTTTCCCATATGGATACCATGCAGGATTTAACCATGGTTTTAACTGTGCAGAGTCAACAAACTTTGCCACCTTCAGATGGATTGATTATGGAAAAGCAGCAAAACTGGTAAGTCATATTGCAGAAAATTGACATGCAAGGGAATCTTTCCTCTGGGTATTTCTTTGTGACAATCTATCAAAGCCGATGAAAGAGGGATAACTTTTAGATCAGGTAATACTTTATATTGCCATCGAATTGTTATTTATAGTTGTTCTTTTTATGGTGGGTGTTACACTTCCAGCAATGTGTATTCCTCTCACTAGTGAGTTTTGTTTCCAGCGTGATGTATATATTGTTCTTGAAACCTATATCTATTTATGGATATTTTTAGGTTGAAACTACATATATATACTGAGGTTAGCATATGTGAAGACAACTGAATTCGGCTTTTAAACCTAGATTAAAATTTTGTTATGTGGCATGCTTTTTTTTCTTTTGCTTCTTTTTATATACATCGTGTGAGTACATACACAAATCTAGAAAGTGTGCCATTTTTTCACCACAAGTTTGTGACTGTTTTTCAGTATTTTGTGATTTTTCTCAGTGTTACAGCTTATATAAGTCTTGGTTAGTATGCTTCCAGAATGTTAAAGTCAGAGACTTTCTTTGCATTGACTTGTTTGTTACTGAAAGAAAGAAAGAAACCCTTTCCAGTAGTGATTTGCTTAATATATTAGGAATAAGATGTTGTGGAATAAAATGTAAAATTAGATGTGTAGGTTTAACAAGTGATAATAATGTACTCTTATTAAGAGCTTAGGATTGGAAGACCATGAGAAAGTTCTTAAATAATGGAAATTTATGATTCAAGGCATTTCTGATTATTGTTGTGAGGTTGAATATGCTTAAAAGGGAAGGAGTCATCCGCCTCTGTATGCATACACTGACAATGCTGAAAGTATTGAAAACATTAGTATGCATCTAACATGTTCACATTGGTCTTTACATTTATTGGGAAAATTGTGTTTTAATAGTCAACAGATAAGGTGTTGACTGTAAATTTAATTCAGAAATGCCCTATGTATTTTATAGATTTGAATTTCTATAGGTAGTACAATAAAATAAAATTGCTAGGAATATAAGTACAGACACGCATTAATTGTGGCAGATAACACTGGCAAGTATGGCTGTTGGTAGGTGTGACTATTCTGCAACTCTGCTAATTGGTTTAGCTGAACTTCAAGAATGGCAAACTTTATCTTCAGATGTAGCAAAAAGCGTAGTGGTGCCTACAGCTACATCCTTTCAGTGTACAAGCTTCGTATTTCTAATATTTAAAAAAAATATGGTCTACCATTTGGCCCTGGTACAAACTATTAAATTTTTTATGCCTCCAGTGTGCCTCTCAGTTATTGTATTACACCATAGACTTTGTCACATTTAAACTCAGTGGAGTTAGAAGTTATTTTTTAAAGCTAATGACATTTTATTCCTTTACACCACTTCAAAGGTCCTTCTGAAATTCTGAATTTTTAGCTAAGAGGTCTTGGTATATGCGCTCTAAATACTGTTTCATTTAGTCAAAATTCTTTAATATATGGTTAAAACTTTCATTTTAGGATGCTGAATTCTGTGCTCTGTGGTTATTGCACATGAAAGCATAGTTGTGCATAAATAGCAAAAGAAATTAAAGTAGATGTCCTGGGTTCAGCCACAGAGAGAAAGGATTATGGTTATCTGTTGTTAAATTGCAATTATATGACACTTTGAAGGGGCACACAAGTTATGGAATTACTGCAAATTTGGTGCGGTTTCTTAATTATAGTGTCACTCTAGAAGCGCATGAGGATAGCTGTGGAGACAGCTTTATCATAACCTCAGGAAACTTCCTGAAAGTATGAAATTAAAAGGTAAGAGGACTCTGTGCTCAAAGAATACTGATATTTTAGCAGGTTTTTTTCCTCATCTTTGGTAGTTTCACATAAAGAATAAAAAAAAAAGGCAAACCAAACCACCACAGGCTTGCATTCCCATTTGTCAGAGTACTGACATTGTGCTTGACTCGTCTTTTATTTCTTTATGTGGTATGTGCAAGAATTGAAAAAGTTATTTTGAATTCCGTAGTTCCCCTGTATTGTACTGCAGAAATTGCCTGTGTCAGGATAATACAGCAATGTCTAGGTTTGTTGCTGTATTCTCCTTAGAGAATGTGGTATACCGATGACTGATTGTCTTCCTACAGGAACACTTTTATTTTTAGAGAATAGTTTCTAATTGCTGAATTTGTGCCTTAGAAGAAGAAAAAATCCTGAAGTACAGTCAATAGTCAATCTTCATTAACTTCAGAAAAAAATCCAGCAAGGATTTCCATTAAAGTTGTAGTAGACATTTAGGCTGTGTGATACTGTTTTTCTTCATGAAATGAGATGGTGTTAAAGATGATACCTCCAGTGTGCTCTTTGTGACAACTTGCCTGCTGCTTTGAGCTTTGTTCTCACTTCTGGACAGAATTAAGGAGAAGTAAAAAGTAGATTTAAAAAACAAACAAATTTCCAAACCAACCCCAAAACACCCCAAAAAGCCAGAAATGGAGAAATAGCATATGTACTAAAGTTGCTCTACTCCAGAAGAGGAACAGTAGATTTCTGTGTTGGATTTTGCTGTCTTTTGAAACTGGCAAGACCACACAGGAAGATAAATAGGAGATGCTGGTGAAAGGAACAAACTAGTCATGTTCTGCTGAAGATAACTGACAAATGGATGTTGTGAACAGGGATGCTGGTGAAGTGCTGATACTCAGTAATGGCAGGACTTAACGAATCAGAAGTAGGTAGTGCTCAGCTCATGATTAGTTGGGTTTGTTATATTCTGTGAGGATGAGAGGTACTCTGAACTTTAGATAAGGTCATAGAGTCATAGGGTAGTTAGGGTTGGAAAGGACCCTAAGATCAAGTTCCAACCCCCATGCCATGGGCAGGGACACCTCACACTAGATATTCTTAATCATCATCACACTGTAACTTCCATTAGTTGAATGCTATTTTTTTTTTTCTGGGAAAAAAAAAGTACAAAATAGGGGCAGATAGGATATTTCTTCAGGCTTCATTTTTCATTTTTTCTAATGGAGCCTACACTTATTTGAGTAGGCTGGAAATGTGTATCTTCATGAAATGTGTTTTGAGTTTCCTTACTCCAGTGGACTTTGTTACTTTGGTAAAGCAGATGAGCCAGTGGCAAGTAGCTTGTATGTGTTGTAAGTATCTACTTTGGTTTGTGTTGAGGAGGTAACTTGTGAATAAAGTGTGATGTTCAGTTCTCAGAATTGCGAATAGAAATATTTGCACGTTAATTCTTTTATGTCGAATGAAATAAAAATCCCTCTGAAGCGACTGGATAAAAGACACTTCTCTAGTTTGAGAATAATCTTGCATTCCTATTTTCATTAGCTGCAGGAGAGGATGCTCTGTGCCTCAACAGCAAATCTGTGGATCATCTATGTTTATTAATTTTATTTTTTTGTCTATTATAATTGTTATTTCTAAAGAGTGCAAATTTTGCCCTCATACAAGGGTATCAGTGCAAGACCTCTCACTTTACAGGTGTCAAAACTGGTGTTCTGTTATGATTTTCATCTGTCCAAATTTTAGCTTTGATAGATAGGAACTTTATGCACTCAAATTTGATCCTGAGAATTGGAAACATTTAGATTTTTAATAATTTTTTGTGTCATTGTGTAAAGGCTTTCTTTTTTTTTTTTTTTGCTTTTTAGTTTTTTGTTCTTTTTCCATCTTCTCTCTTAGAATTCCTCTTTTTCCTTGCTGCTGGTTTGCATATGTTTGCAAAACTTACATATTGGCAGATCAGTTCCTAATTACAGGAAATTCCTCCAAAACCCACATCTTTTCACCTTATGTAGAGTTTCTGGGCTGCATGTTCCCACCTAAGGTTGGTAGAAGTAGTTCATAGAACAGGGAACTGGGTTGAGGTAGAGGTCCTGTGTAGGAAATGTAGAGGAGATTGGTTATGTAAGCAGGTTTGGCCAGGGCTCTCTAATTCTTTATGTAGTGGTGGTTATTTTAGTTTCTGTTGTCCCATTTTCATCTTATTACTGTTTAAATCCCCAAATGTCCCTGTCCATTAATTTTCCAGATCCTTTTGTCAGGTTCTCTCACAACTCTCTGTCACTCCTTGCCAAAATGGGTGCCTATACTTCCAACAGCTTTCAGAGAAAGCACTGGCATTTTTGTATACTGCTGCCATTGCTCACTCTGTTTTGTGACACCAGTTGGTGACTTTCACTCAGTATAAATGTATGTAAATTTTACTGTCTTCTATCATGGATAGAGTCACACTAGGTGATTTTACTAGTCATTATAATGATTCTTTTGTATTGGAGCTTCTTTTAGGACGTGATTTGTTTTCAGATGTTGGAAGGCTTTTTTGTTGTTTAGCTGAGACGTAGAACCTGAGAAGTCAACCAACCTTTTCTTTGTGAAACTTGAGCTACTTAAGTATTATTGCTCTCTTTCAGAAAATTAATTTGGTAATTACTCATGCATTTTGCAGTGGTAGCTGCTTAGCAACATATTTCTGTGGATAGGTTAAATCAAAGTGCTGGCCTGCAGGTTGTATTTTTCCTTTTGGTGGGATGAAGTGCAGTTGTTTTGATGTTAGGTTTGATGGATTTGTTTGCCACTGCATTCATTAGCTTCACATCAAAAAACTGACAGGCTGTTAAATGAAACTTTGGCTTAGATTTTCAGCTTGACTGTTTTGAGACCTTTGTGAAGATACTTTGTTTTTGTGCTGCAGCAGCCTCAAGCAGTTATGATTGTTTCAAAGGGAAGAAAAATTATTTAGTATCCTGATTCTTTTGGGTACAAGAAGTCATTGTCTTGAGGATAGCCATGTCCAGCTTATGATATCCAAACAATATATTTTATTATAAAATGTATATTTAGAGACAGTTTGTATCACTTAAATAATTGTTTTCAGAAAAGAAATTATACTTACCACACAAAAGCAGTTTTCCATCTCTCAGAATTTATTGAGGTAATATTTTTTTCAAGGAGGATTATGTTTAGGTTGGTTTTGTACAATACAGTGTTATTTGTCAGTTTAAAGCTCACTTGTACCATCATCATTATTTTGTTTTTTAAATGTGGGTGAGTGATTTAAAGGCCTAGACTTGAAAAGTAACTTGCTACTCCTGCAGCAGTGTTTTAGTACTGAATGTCAGAAGTAGCTGTGTTCATAAGCTGGTGAGTGGTTCTTATATCAGCTTATGTTATTGGTTTAAAGTGAGTACTGCTTTCAAGGAAGCATCTTTTTGTATTGTTGTTGTTAGTATTATTTTTTTTCTAAACACCACATTGTTGATACATTTGATACCAGTCTGCAATGATAGCAGCTTCATTCAAGATGTACAAATTAATGTTTTTACTTGCTGGAAATACTAGTTAGTCACCTTGTATCGTTGACCTGGCTGCTGATGGCATCTTACGAAGATCCAGAACCAGACATGCTTTCCATTTGTGGTCCTGGTATTCATACACAACTTCAAAGAAAATCCTATGCATTCTGCATGTTGATATTTCACTTCATAATCAACTGCCACTCTCATCTCTGTAGTTGTCATGGAATGTTAGCTTTTATTTCTTCTTTATGTTTATTTCTTTAATCTTGATCTGTTCCTTAGCTTTTATTTTTGCCCACTTTAATACTGCCATTATCTACTGCTCATGCTTGGTTCTTACACCCCAAACTCAGCATTTCTTGAGAATAGCAGCAGATTGTCTGTCTCCTAGTGGGCAATAACTTGTGGACTTCTAGCACAGCAGCATCTTGAATTTGGAACTTTTAAGGTTTTGGGATTAGAAAGGAATAGTGATAATCAGGATATTTTTGCCTGTAAATGCAAAAGAGAATTATGTTCCATTGTTTTTTTTTTTTTACCTTCCCATTTTCCAAGTGGTACCAGCGCAACTGGTTGTAAGTTTTCATAATCCAAAAAGTCGTATGATTGTGCTTTTATGTTTTCACAGTCTGTGCTACTCTGTGTGCAGGTACTGTTGTTATCTTGAGTAATCTGTAGTTCTGAAGGTCAGTGTGGGTTCTCATGAATCTTTTCCATCTGTACCTAGCCT